ATTCCTCATATTAACAACCTTTTACGGCCATATGCTTTCATAGCTAGAAATTTCTACTCAGATTGCTGTCCTTCCAATGAAAATGTTTGAGTAAGGGCTTGAGTTGCTTTTTTTATAAATAAAGAGCTTGTTCTCAAGAAAGAAGTAGTCCATTTTTTTTTTCCTTTGGGAAACAAAAACAACAAAAAGTAAAATTCAGCAGAACTGGATAAACTATTTACATTATTTTGCACTGTTTGTTGGGGTTTTTTTTTAGTTTTTTTTTTTTTTTTTACTTTTATTTTTTTAATCCAGAAAACCTGTGCTCACATGGAAGAGATTTAAAACATTTATTTTTTTGATATTTAGTCTAGCAGAAGCTAATCCAAAGTCTAGGGTGAAGACAGAGATGGTCAAATGAGGATCTTCATCTAGGAACAATGTGGATATGGCTACCTGAGGTACGTCTTTGCTATAGAAATACTCTAAGCTGAGCAGCGGTGTTCAAGTGTTAGCAACTACCTAAGGCTGTTTGGATTATGTTACCTCCAGCTCTATTTATAAGTCACTTAGGAGATTCCTGAGGCTGGGCCATTGTGCTAGACTGAGGTCCTTTAGCAGCAAGCCGCTCTCCTGGTTACAAGTGGAAATTATGCCTGAGGATGATTGGGATGTGAGGTGTGCGAGAGATAACAAGTGGCTTGAGAGAGCGCTAAGATACTGGAGTGAAACATCTGAACCCAAAAAGACTTGCTCAGTTGTGTCTTGATTTTGCTAGGTAGTTTTCTGCTTGACTCAGTTCCTCAAACGTCTGAGGCCATGCTCCTTTGCTTGCCCTGAAAGTGATTTTTGTCTGCGTATTTGGGTGGTCACCCTTGTGTCTGTGCCCAGGCTATAGTCAGGAGCAAAGTGTTTCTTTGTTGGTTCAGTGTGATTTGTTCTAAAAGCCTTACAAAGAGTATGCATGAAAGGGACTCGTGGCTCCCATTTTCCAGCTGTGGTAGTGCAGATTTTTTTTGCAGTAATTTAGTAATTCAATAAGTGTTCAAAAAAATCTGTGGTGAATCAGGTGAGAATCTACAGTCTTGAATATCTTACTGGAAAGGACAGTAAAAAACGTACAGCAGAGGCACAAGTTGATGAAACCAGATATTGAATTATATCCAAGACAGAGATAAGGTTTATTAGCTTGGGTATAATGCTGCACAGTGGTTGTTCTGACACTAAATTAGTTTTCACTGAACAAATACAGGTTCATACGGTCTGTATTTGCTAGACACTGTTTGTGTCTGTGTGACTGTGCTATAGAGATGCTCCTGTGTGGCTTCATCTTCAAGGACCCCCAGTAGGAACTTGGGTGAAAAAAGCAGGATGAAAGTCTACAGAAATGTTTAAATTGACACTACTGGACAAATGTTCTTTCTAACAAGCTAAGAAAAGCTTAATAGTTTAGGCCAAAGCTGATATCTCTAGATCCTCCACTGTAGCCTTGTATTGCCAGTTGGATAACATCCATGTGTTACATCCCTGTGTGCAGCCATATCTGTCCTCCAAAGGTCTTATCTGTCCTCTTTTAATATCAAAGTACTTGTACCTGGTATTTCAGAATATGATGAACTGAAACTTCTGTTTGAAAACAGTAGTCTATAACCATGCTAGGTGTTTTGTACTTTGGTTTACGTTGTAAGGCTTCCTGTGACTCAGTCCATTCATGTTTTGACAATTTGAGCGTGAACAAGCATGCACGCACACACATGTTTTTTTTGAGATATTATTAACAAGAATGTAGAGGATTTGTTATAGCATTCCTGCTTGATTGGTAAACAAGTTTGTTCTGGCTATAGGCTTGAATCCCATCCAACTTTTTTGTTTACAGAAATGATCTCCCAGCTTCCGCTTAGGCAGTTGTTTTACACTACTTTCCTTCAGCTATTGATATGTGTCATTGCATAAATGTCACCATGTTTTTACTTGTCTTCCTAAAATACAACACACTGGCCCACATTTATTCTATTAAATCAAGTGAGATTCATAAAAACTCTGACCAGGTGCTGAAATTGCTGGTCAACTCAGTGAGGTATAAGCAGGTACCTCCTTTCTTATGATGGGGCCCATGAAGTGTTTGAAACCACAGGTCTAGAAAGCCTTGCAAAACCTTACCACTCCCCCCTTAATTCTCCTGTGGTTTCGTTGAGTCACTCTTACCATGAGGAAATCCTGGGATGATACCACTGGTAGAATCCAAGAAACAGCTGAACTTGCATGTGCTGAGATACTGCAGAAAAACTGCACTGTGATGTGACACCCATTCCACCGATATGGCCAGACTATGCCATAGGTCTTCCTCAGCTGAAACTCACAGGTTTTCTTCCCAGAAAACCAGAGGACATGGAGAGAGAATAGAGGATGTCTAGGTTTCATCCTAGACATAAATAATGAGCCTAGAGCATATGCCTCCACCTGTGAAATGCCGGGCAATGATCCTAGGTTCTAACATTACTGTTGCTCTGTGTAGTCTGCTACAACATCTACTGAAAACATGTCTGTATTTTAAAAGTGGTAGTCCAGGAAAAGGCTGATATCTTGCTCTCACTATATGAGCTTGTCTCACAGCGAAAAATGTGACGTTCAGAAATACGTGTAGAGAAGGGTCACTTGGTAACAGTACTGCACTGCTTGTCTTCATAATTCAGGCATGTTATCTCTAGGAGTTCTCTGGCAACTAGGTAGTGGTCAAAGAACTTAACCTTTAGCCTTAAACACCAAGGGAGGTAATAGGGCAGCTACTTCATCAGAATTTAGTCCCAAATGGCATCCTCCCTCCTAGTCCCCTGCGATAACTATGAGTACAGCAGAGATGTGATAAGGGCATTAGAGACATCACTGCACCTTAGGTTAATTGAGCTTGACCACAACAAAAGCAATGTAATTAACTTAGAGCTGGGTGGCTAATACCCAGGGAAGAACTAGACATCTTTTGAAATGAAACAGTACAATGTTAAAGCACATGACGTTAAAAAAATTGACTTAAAAATACATCTCTCAACATTCCATCCCCTGAAGTTTATTAAAGAAAATTGAATTGCACTGGAGTCTGTGCCCTGATCATCCTGAGGTAAATCAAATGTTAGCAACAAAGACTGAACCTGACCATCTGGTTCATTTTGCCCAGTGCTTGCTATCCCAGGCAATCATGTTATATATGCCATTTAACACACTGATCAAACACCTATTTAAAACTCACTGCATAGCTGTTCCCCTCTTGGGTTTGGAAAGAGTCTCTCCTGGAGCATCACTGCTCAGCAGCAGCAGAAGCAGCCTTCTGATTTCCAATTTCCATTCTCAAGGAATTTATTTGCTTTTGTTCTTGAACCAAATATACTCTCTTGGCTTACAGTAGCCATCTAATCCCCTCCATGATCTACAGTCCTCTATGGAGACACACTGTTCTTTCTTGCAGCTCTTCCCTGCATCTATTCAATTTGGATTTCATCTACATAAGCATAGGCGACCCAACTTGTGCAGAGTGTATTGGCTTTTCATGGGAAGGTTTTGGTAGCCGAGGGGCTACAGGGGTGGCTTCTGTGAGAAGCTGCTAGAAGCTTCGCCCATGTCCAATAGAGCCAATGCCAGCCAGCTCCAAGATGGACCGGCCGCTGGCCAAGGCCGAGCCCATCAGGGACAGTGGTAGTGCCTCTGGGATAACGTATTTAAGAAGGGGAAAAAAAACCTATGCAACTGCAACCAGATAGAGGAATGAGAGAAACAGCCCTGTAGACACCAACAGCAGTGAAGAAGTCAGAGCAGGGATTCCCCTGCAGCCCGTAGTGAAGACCACGGTGAGGCAGGCTGTCCCTCTGCAGCCCATGGAGGTCCGTGGTGGAGCAGTTATCCACCTGCAGCCCGTGGGGGTTAATGGTGCAGCAGATCTCCACCTGCAGCCTGCGGAGGACCCCACACCAGAGCAGGTGGATGCCCGAAGGAGGCTGTGACCCCGTGGGAAGCCCACACTGGAGCAGGGTCCTGGCAGGACCTGTGGACCCATGGAAAGGAACGGGCCCACGCTGCAGTAGGTTTGCTGGCAGGACTTGTGACCCCACAGGGGACCCAGTCTGTTCCTGAAGGCCTGCACCCCGTGGGAAGGACTCACATTGGAGAAGTTCATGGAGGACTGTCTCCCATCGGAGGGACCCCACACTGGAGCAGGGGATGGGTGTGAAGAGTCTTCCTTCTGAGGAGGACGGAGTGGCAGAGACACCAGGTGATGAACTGACCACAACCCTCATTCCCCGTCCCCCTGAACTGCTGGGAGGGAGAAGGTAGAGGAATCAGGAGTGAAGTTAAGCCCAGGAAGAAGGGAGGGGTGGGGGGGAAGGAAAACCAAATTTTAAGATTTGGTTTTCACTTCTCATTATCCTGCTCTGATTTTGATTGGTAATAAAATTAAGCTAATTTCCCCAATTCAAGTCTGTTTTGCCCATGACTGTGCTGAGTGATCTCCCTGTCCTTATCTCGACCCACGAGCCTTTCATTATATCTTCTCTCCACTGCCTGGGTGAGGAGGGTAGTGACAGAGCAGCTTTGATGGGCAGCTGGCATCCAGCCGGGGTCAATCCACCACAAGTGTATTACTCTATTTATGTTTAGACATTGGTAACGGTGATAAAGAGTAGGAAATATCCATCTGATATCTAATATAACTTTTATTCAAACTATTTATAGCAATCTCATTTATTTCTTATTATTACTCTGAAATAAAAATGCTCAGATTTGACTGTAGTGTATTTACTGCAGGAGAAATAATTCAGTTGGTATTTCTAAAAATATAATTAGTTGATGAGTCAGAAAAGAATTTCATTTTCCCAAATGTTAAAGCTAGAAGATTGGGATTATCATGATCAGTGTGTCTGACCTGTGACTCTGACATGTCTTAGGACTCTTCCTGATAATTCTTGTGTCAGTTTGTAATTAAACTGGAAGATTGTTCAGACAAGACTGAATAAAGGGCCCAGACCACATTCTTACGATTTGCTGAATGTTATTTCACACAACACAAACAAAAGGTACACTCCACAGACAAGCCTGCATCTGGTGAATCATCATTTTCAATTAAAATTTTAAGACAATTAACATTTACTAATGGGCTAATTTCTGATAACTCATTGCACATTTTTAGAACATCATACGTAACTGTGAACCACTATATGTGTGTGTGTATATATACACACACATATATTTAAGGCAATGAAACTTATTGCTATTTATGGAAATCCAAGTCTTACCAAGAACCTGTATCATCCATGTGAAATGTGAAAATAGAAAAGGAAGCAGCTGGGCTAAAATGAAAAGGTATAAACTAATCAAATTCTAGACTGCAATAACAGCTGGCATGAAAAAAGAAACCGAAAACCAGAAATGAACACCACGTAGAGCAAAAGATCAATATTTTATTGACTGGAAAACAGATAGCTATGTACTTGTTGGTCAGTCATTATCCATATTGATTCTATGTCACTGCACTTCATCTCTGGCTTAGCTATGCACACATATCCTTTTCCTTTTTTTCTTTTTTTTTTTTTTCCCCCCACTTTTCTACATAAAATAATAGCTGTCTTCAGTATGTATAAATCCCACTCAAGTCAGCCAAATAGCTCTATGCACTTAAGGTCAGAGTCTAGGAAAATGTAGGACTTAAAGATGTGTGAGATGAGGACTAAACCGGTGCTGAGCGGTGCAGAATCTGCCATTCTTAATATCACTGCACCATCCACAACAGCCAGGTAGAGACACTGTAACATGAATCAGTCCACTGTAACATACAATATGGAAGAAGGAAGAAAATAAATGCTTGTAACTCAGCTCTAGATGACCTTCAATAATAGACACTTAAGTGCTGAGGCTCAGCGAACAGATATAACCTTCTCAAAGCCAGCTGCCTAGAAACTAATACCTCATACTACAAGCGAGGACTGCCTAGCTTGCAATGACAACATTATCGATTCTTGGCATAATATTGGCAAATGCATGTGGCACATGGCAAAATGAATAGGGTATTGGTTCTGAAGAGTTTATAGCTTGCTATAGACAAGCAGGTATTTGCACAAAAAGGGGTAGACTGTGAATCAAAGACCTAGCAGGGTGGAAAAGGTAAGGCCATTAACAGTACCTCTGATTGTGGGCAAATGGGTTTTGAGGGGAGGAAAAGTACAAGGTTAAAGGGACAAGTATGAGTTAGCTCTTGTGTCTACTAATAAAAATATGTATTTTATGTGCGTATATGAAGGTCTAGTGAAGACACTGGAGACAGAGTCTTAAGGTATATTAGCTATAGGAAAGTGTACATCAGCACTATTCAATCTTGGTCAATCTTCACCTCTTACAGTAGCTCAAAATGTGCTTTATGTTCTAAAGTAGTTATGCCTGAAAACTTAAGAACAGTTAACCAGTTTTGGAAAGGCCCTGCCACTCAGTTTTTTAAAGACTATATTTCTGAGGAGCAATCTCAGTAAGGAGAAGAAAATGACATTTTTTCCCTTTATCTGGCCCTGGAATGGGCCTTTCTGACTTGATGGTTCTCTCTGTAAAAGTGCCCCCTCCTCCCACTTTCTGCCTGCTTTATCAGCACCTTTTTTGCTTGAAGTATGGAGGAAGTTGATATTTATAAGTTGTTCTCATCAATGTTATGTTTCAATAGAAGAATACACATGCCCAGCTCTCCATACCAAGGTCTGCATCTGTGAAGCAGTGCTAATGCCTCATCATTAGTCATATGCCATATAGACTTTTCATGATCCTCCTTGGTTCATGAGAGACGAAATGTAAATTTTTAGGCTTCTAACAGCAGAGTGCAGTGTGTTACAAGGAGAAACATACTGTGGTTAGATTTAAAATATATATGAATCTTTTCTGCATTATTTTCTTAACCAGTATGGGGCTGTTTAAAATTTTTATAAGCAGTTGAGAAATATGATAGAATTAAACTACTGCTGGAAAGTTACTTGAATGACTAAATAACTGTTATACCTTTTATGTGATTTTCTTACTGCAGACTAATGAAGTACATCGTTACAGAGTGAGAATAATGCAGCTGTACAGCTCTCCACAGAACTAGGAAGCAGAGCCACATTCATGACAAAGGACATCATCCTGCCGAGTGAGGAATCCCTGGCCCACCAGTGAGACAGAGCATTTTGCACAGTTAAAGCATTCCCCATGCCACTGGCGCTCTTCAAATGAGATAAATTTTGCACCTCCAAGAGCTGAAAGAAATTATGAGAAAGAAGATGTGAATCTAATATTTCTGGACATGGTTCAGAAATGCAGCAAATTGTTTTCAGATGTACGATCAGGTTGTCATTCGCATAGCAAACAAACAAATGAACAAAAATCCATATTCTGAAATATCCATTGTTGGTTGAGTTGAGTAAAGACTTAAAAATTAAATAAGGTGAGAAATATTTTAAGCAAAGTCACAAGTTGCTTGTTTTCATATCCCATTTTGAACTCTGAACAAAATGAGTTTATCAGAATATCCATTCAGGTTTGCTGATCTTCCCAACAAACACTCATGAAAATTATTTTCAGTGTGTTGGTAAACACAGAGATACAACACTGAGTGAAATTTAATTATTTCCACTTATGTTTCTTCAAGATGGAGTCTTTTGGAAACTACCATATTCTGATGTCCATAGAATGACTATCTAAAATAAAATATTGGAGGTTTTGGTGGTTTGAAGTTTTTTGATTTTTTTTTTTTTTTTGGTTGGTTCGTTGGTTGGTTTGGTTTGTTTTTTAAATCATACCCCTTTGATTGTGTATTCATAATTTTCCTTGTCCACTTAGATATGCAGTGTGCACCTGTAACAATCAGGCCATACTTTTCAACAACTGAGTCCACACAGAAGTACAATGTAGAACACCAGCAAATGGTCTCAGAAACCTGCAGCTACCATAGACTAGTGACATATATGTCTAATTATAGATCATCAAAGTATACAAGGATGCATTAGTAGAGCTTTGTTGCATTTGGCAAGCTTTCTAATTTGACAGGTGTGCCTTACCAGCAGGCAGTTAATTCATGTCCAGTTTGATTACATTTGCATTTAAAAACAAAGCTGAAGAAATTACAGACATGAAGGAGTTGTGTGTAATGTCATGGGAAGAGCCAAAAAGTGCCTTTTCTTATATTCTTAGAGGATTCATTTTAGTGCAGAAAGCACTAAATCAGACAATGGAGGAACTCCTTTCATCATATAAAAAAACTCCTCAGCAGTTAGGGAACATGTGTGATCAGTATGTTCTAGCAAGATATGTTACATATGATGGAGAGAGTGTCTTTCTAGTAGTTAACTCCTTAAGTCTTTCATTATGGTGAGACTACTTTTAATGCTGTTTTCTAAAGTAAAGTTCTGCTTTGAGAGGAGACTGATGATTCATCAGTGTCTAGTCCCCTCTAGAAGATGAGACTCACCTGTAATAGGTTTCTTGCAAGCAGCACACTTCTTAGCATACAATTTGCTGAAACAGTCTACACAGTATGGATGCTCATCTTTCGAAATAAATCTTTGTCCAGACAGCTGGGTTTTACACCCAGCACACACAAAGCATTCTCTATGCCAAGGCTGGTCATGGTAGGTCACTCCCCCAGAAGTTATTACCTAAAGTATTGACAAAGAAGGACAGAGCAATGAAACAAAGGTGTAAATTGTGAAGGATTATCAAATCCTTCAGAAGTACTTACACTTGTTTTCTCTCTTCCCATACACACAAGAGAAGAGAGTGTGGTCACATCAACACTTTTTCATCTGGAATATCAATTTGACTAACTGCAACTGAGTTGATCATGCCCCTGGTTTGTATTTTTGATTTTCTACCACAGGATAACCTCATGGTTTGTAAAAAACAGGTTAGCTTTTTATGAAATTTTTCAATTATACGTGTGGATAAAGGCTGAACATCAGGCATGATCTCAGAAGAGCAATTCTCAGCGATGGACAGTGGATGAGAGAACCAATGCCGAGATTATGGCTAATCTCCAACTGGAACTGACATTTTGCTGTCTCACAATTTAAACAGTATTTTAAGTAGGAAGAAAGACAGTAAAGAAACAGAAGTGAGACAGAAATTAGATCTACTCTGTCAGAAGAAGAAAAAATGGTGTTTATCAGTGTTGTCAAACTTCTCATTCCCTGCAACTCACTCACAACTCTCCACTTTTTAATTAAAAAATTAAATAGTTCCTGATTCCCTTAGCATTCCAGTACTGGGTTACTTCTAACTCTCGTTTGCTATTCCATTAAAATCTCAAAATCCCTGGCACAAAATTCAAGACTCCAGTTTGGCAATTTAATCTCTTTGGACTCAATTCTTATTTATGGGAACTGGTACAACTTTAAGTAGTAAAATAAATTTATTTAAATTATAATCAGGCTTAGATTAATATCAACTAGAAGGAAGAGCAGACACTGTTGTAGTTGGCTTTCACTGTACGATGTCAAAAGGAAGACTCTGCTCTTACTCTTAGTTCACCAGACATTTTACATGATCCAACCTCTTCCCTCATGAGCAATACTGCCTCATTATGGAAATTTTTCCATTGCATGTTTAATTACCTTTTTGCAGGAGTAGCAATGGTGAGCAAATTGCTTCTCAAAGCAGGGCACGCAGTAGTTCTCATTGTCCTTGGTGATCAATGGTTTTGTTCCCAATGGTTGCCGGCAATACTGGCAAACAAAGCAGGATTCGTGCCAGGAACTTCCCTTAAATTCCATTTTACGGGAACCTGCAAAAACCCAAAGCGAAAAATCCCCCCAGATACAACCTTGTAACATATGATTTAAGTCTTGTTGAATACTCTTGGTTTTAATCTTCTATCTCAGTATTGGATTACCCAAGAAAGCACTTATCCTCAATTTAACAGAGTTTCTAAGTATGTACTTGAAATTTCAAGAACACATCTAGCATCGTGTGATCACCTGGCAAAAGACGTGATAAATTGACTAAGCTGTGATATTTAGAGTCTGTCCTTGTATGAATCTTTTAGTTACTTCTTTGTGATAGGCTTCAGTTGCTCAGAGTTTCAGGCCAGTCAACTCAGTGATAATGTTCAGGTACACACCACTTTTATAAATTAAATATGAGGCCATTGCCATGGCAGATAGTCTTCAGCTGGTATATGGAGTTATACAAGACCTGTAAAAAGGTTCAAGCATTAAGGGTAGTTCACCGTTCCAAAAGTTAGGGACCCACTTTCCTAAGCAAGCTGCTTCATTTTGCCACATGCGGTGCTGTGTCTTCTCATAGATGCTTCCAAAGAGGCAGGTTTTAGTCAATGTCTCTGCCACATGACCTTTACTGCTGTGGTAGCAATGAAAGGCCTAGAGGATGTACTGAACAGACATGATCGAAAGCTGAGAAGTTAAATAAAAAGTGCAGAATTTTCATGGTTGCTAATGGCAGGAAGTAAACCTATTGTAAACACAAATGTACTCTTTTTAGTAAAAATGCTGATAGTGATTTGAACACAGAATGTCATGTTTTGACAATTTAATCAAAAAATATTTCTGAGTCAAAGAAATGGTATAAAGAACATGACTTCAAGGTCTGGTCAATGTGACAGACAAAAATGCAGATGTCTTGTCTAATCCAGCACTCCTGCTATCTATAGCTTTGTTTGTCTACCTATGCTGACAGTGGCATATGCTTCCTGAGTACTGCAACACAATCAAGGACTCAACATGAACACATTTTACCCTGTCTTGAACTCTAATATTCTTTATAAGGATTCATAAGCCTTTTCAGAGCTAGACCAGAAGTATTTGCCTGCCCTCTCTTCACTGCTGGGAGCGTACTACGCACAAAGAAGTAGTCACCTGAAAGATGTCTTGAAAGCCAAGGACCTTGTAGCTTCGTTATTCAAGGCTGTGGTTATAAATAAAAATACAGTTCTATTTTTCACCGAAGGATCCCTGTTAACTTACCAGGCATAATGGTCTTCTGGCAGTGGAAACACTTAGATGAATACTCGTCAGAGTAGCATTCAGTACACAGCAAGACCTCATCCTTGGCAGCAAATGGTTTCTCCACCAGCGAACGACTGCATTTGGCACACTTGAAGCACCTCTCATGCCAGTGGCGACCTTTGTAGGCCAGATCCTTGGAGAAAGTAAGTCCATATTAATGAAGACATTTCTTGACAGTGATTTTAACCCTTAGCTCCTCCCAGAAATAAAGTGAAAAATGGAGAGCATTGCAATGGTGACTCGAAGAGACGACATGTGCAGCTGGCAGGAGTTGTGCTCAGAGGTGGTATAAAAGGTGATATTAAAAGGTGGTATAATGTCACTCTGTCAGTATATTTTGTAGATTTCTTGCAGAGGCCATTAGGAGCTGCTTTGACACAGGCAATTGTCCTTCCTGATGTAAAATCAGAGATATGTTTTTATTGGAAGAATTATTTTATATTTTACAGTTGGCCTTTAAGGGGAAACAATGATCAACATCTTTAATGTGTGCAGGCCACTTCACAAGAAATAGGTTCTCTGTGGACGTTAACATAAACCTCATGTATTTTTTAATGTTACTGCTTTTTATTCCAGCTGATGCTACATAACACTGAAGACAGATCATATTATTGCAGAAAACAAGCAATTAAAATATCATTGAGAACAAAACGATTCTTAGGAAGATTGTTTAAAAATAATTACTTATGTTTACACCTAATATAACTCCTCCTAAAAACTTGGCAGAAAAATGTTTGCTTAAGACTCAGCAGGGTTAAGGGATGAAACAGCTAACAGTATATTTGTGAGACCTCAACTAAAATTTAAAAAAAAAAAAAGAGCAAACAGCAGATTTTATTTTTCCAAGTTTTTTTTTAAAAAAAACAAGGGAAAAATGCACCTCCAAAAAAAGTCTCCACCTTAAAAAATAAACCAGACCCTTCCAGGTCTCCTTTATAAGGAAGAAGCACAAAAGGGCACAAATCCAATCTCATTTTTCTCCTTTGTCAGATCCTCACCCTTTAAAATGCTAAAAATGAAATTAATACCATGCTTCATTTCAGGAGGTGCTGAGCGCTTACCACTTTCATTTGCTTTAGTTAGCATTGTGAACCTTGTAGAAAGTAGGCTTTCATCCCAGAGCAGCCGGAGGCAAAGACTGGGTAAGAAGGAGAGGAAGAGAGCCAGGCTCTAGCACCTTGGCAGAAGTGGGACAACCATCTGTAGATCCCTGGGGTCACTTTTCTAGCTGACTCTGGCTGGTTGCACTCCTTTCTTGTTACTCCTGCTTTTTTCTCCCAGTTTTTCCTTCCACTCAGTCCAAAGACATGACTTTTTGTTAATGATCTTTGACATCAGTAGTCTTGCCACTTAATTTTCAATTTTAAAAGCGAAATTAGTGAGCTCAGAGCACATGTTCTCCAGGTGACCCTGGCTGGTGCTACATGTACAAGTTTGCTGTTGAAAAGCACTCATGAGAGTTTGAGAAATGTCTTCATCCAAATCAGCATTTTCTTTGGACGATTCCTTGACAGTACTGAGCTGTACTCAATGTGCTTTGAAAACCATGATATGCTTTGGCCAGGGAGGCCTCCCAAGAGGTTTATTTTAATAACTTGCTGACCTTTTATTTCAGAAGAATGTAGGCAAAGCAAGCGTGAGGAAAAGGTGAGCATTACATACTGAACTTGGTAAAACAAAGGCATTTTGATAGGTTTCATCTGAACTTAAAATTCAAAGTCAAGTATACAGGCTTTAAATTGAAGTACAGGGTACTGGAAACCATGTCAAAGAGCACAGAGGAACTCGTATTATGAATTAATATTCTGAAAAAGGGGAGAGGTGAAAGGAAATCCAAGCTCATACACACTGCCACTAACATGCCATCTGTGAGATGAACAAGGTAAGCATGGAATTCAGTTAAAATTAAAATATACTTAATTTCCAAAAGGCAGAGGGAATAATATACAAATTATAAACACGATTTCTTTTCAACTTGGCAGATACCTACAGTAAAAGTAATTTACCCAATACTCAAAATATTTTTTTAATGAACATCTTAGAAATTCCAGTTTCATTCAACCTGATCCACTGAATTACACTGGCACCCTACTGTCCCTCAAGCACTGTGCAGCCTCTGCAGCCAGCGAGTGACTAGAGATGGAGTCTAGCTGGGATCCATACGTACACTACAGCATCGTTCTGTTTTTGAGGTATATGTGTGTGCAGATTTCCTATTCTTTGGCCCAGGAGCTTTCCTATTCTGGGATAATAGCACTGCTTGTCTCATATGTGTGTGGATATACGATGGCTATGTGTAGGTCTCTTCAACAGTACATGGATATACAGAGGGTTGGATACAGAATCTGCCATTAAAGAAATGGGATTTGTGTATAATTTAGCAAACAACAAGAAGTGGAAGATAAATCTTTACCTTGGAATCACACTCAATCGGTTGCTTGCACTCTTCACAGGGGTTGGCAAATAGGCTGTCATAACATGCAACACAATAAGCGTTTTCTTCTCTTAAAGCATACTTCCTTCCACGAAGAGACTGCAGGCAGTAATGGCAGTCTGTGTGATTGCTGGTCATTCTGGTGGGGTTCTCCATGTGATCTGGAAAGATGGAAAAATCATGCAATTCAGTGGATGACTGTTTGCTTGCCTAAATAATACATAATGTTGCTTTCTCTGTGAAAGTTAGGACAGGCTTTGGTCAGTTCTTGGTCATTTGCAGTGCCCTGGATTTCTAACGTTGGGCTGTTCCATAATAAAATGGTAGTCTTTAACAATATATACTGTATATTGTGTGACCTATGTAATGGGGAGTGAGAAGGTTGCTTCAGCTTAATTTAATCATGCTTACACTGGTAAATCAGATACCTGAAAATTAACGTCTTCACATTCTCTACATACTTTACGAGAGTTACGTACTGAATTGTGGGACATGGTTTATCCAGAAATTAGGGAATGGAGATAGAAGCAATAGTTCAAAATTAAAACAAATGCAGAGTTAAAAGGCCAAAGAGAAATGGCAAGCACTTTGTAGCGCATTTCTGGTTTTCTCTTCCCATTCCTGTCTTTCTGCTCATTCCTTCCATTTCGAAATACCCACATCTCTACTTGACCAAAGAGAAGTCAAGGGACTCCAAACTGTATGGCTGTTATTTGCATAATCCCAGCTGTGCTGCTAATATTTGGTGTAAAGTGACACAAATATTCCTGGATAGCAAAAGAGCAAAATATAAAGAGAAATAAACTAAATCATAACTCAGTAACTCCAAAAAAGTTTCCCTTGCTGTCATTGGAAATTATTATCTTTGTTTACATATTTCTTTATTGCCAGGTTCCATGTTGGCAGTGCCAAAATACTCTAAAACAGTATTATCTTTCTGTGCCAGACAAGTGCAGGAAATACCACAAATCTATTGAGAGTCAATTGTACAAGTTTCCCATCCTTCAGTTTGCCAGGCTAAAGAGGCTCGGATAAGCATACAAACCTCAGCTGCTTATAGACCTGCAAGGATTGTGGAGATGAAGACTTATTTCAGTCTTGTTGCTGGTTGGATCATCAGCGCTTTGCTAAAATTGGGTCTTGATTCCTGGGAATGAAGTAAGAAGAATCCAGAAAGTTCCCAGTGAAGCAAACCCAGAAACATCTGCTGGACTCATTGGATTGCACTCTTCATTAAACTCATTAAGTGTAGCTGCAGCCAGCAGCAGCAATCATAAATTTTAGAGGACTTGAGAAAAAACAGGGAAGATCTAAAATATTTGCATATCAGTGACTTTGGGCAGCTGAAATCTTTACACTTTGAATAACAGTGCAAATTAGTTTATCTTAACCAGATGCAAAGCCTGAGAGTAAGGAAGAGAAGCATATGAAGAACATGGTTCTAGGGAGTACTTAACCATCACAGAGTTTACATCTAGTCCATTTAGAGTTACTCCTTCATACTTGTTTTTATACACTCCTTGTCTGTCTTATACCCATGGTTCAGTTTTATAAAGGCATTTAATCTTTTTCTGGGTTTCTGATTTGTGAGATGTAATCCAGAATGATTGTTTGAACTATGAGAAAGAACGATTACCTCAGGTCTCTATTGGCACCAATGCATAATGATCAGGCATTTGTTAATCTATTCCTGGAGGGATAGTAGTAAGACAGTGAAAATGGGGCAGGGAGAGAAGATATAATGCTTATTTCAGACCAAAAGACTTGATTGTTTGGCACAAGCTATGGAAAATGTGTTGTTCCTGTAAATTGAAAATCTTTTGAGTTGAATTGATTTACTGTTTCTGACTGCCCTAAATCTTTGTGCTAGCCAAGACAGGGTGTAGTAAGAAAATAAAATAATCTGTAACTCAGATCAGTGGGAAACATGCTTGCTTAAAAATATGTGATGTGTTTTATGTGATACCCTTGGAATAATAGTATAACAGGGCTTGAATCTGGACTTCCATTCCCTTAAGATCAAACACAGATTGGAATGTGAAATGAGTGAACCCATGTAGATGAGAAAATAACATCCATGACCTTGTACATTTACACACCATGAGTAAAAAACCAGCAGTGCATTTAGTGCACAATCACTACATATCAGCAAAATCAAAGTTAAGTTTTGCTCATTTTCTTCTATATTGGGGAAGCAGTATAAATTGGTGGCTGGGGAGACTATCAAGGAATATTTGTGGTTAACTGGGCTCCATATTCAAGGTCATAGGACAGGTTTGCAACTGGGTTTCAGAGGAATTTTCATTCCTTTTTTGTGGGAATTAGAGTAATGAACTGCCTCTGAGGATAATCCTGAGTGAACCACCTTTCTGATCTCCCTGCTGAATCAGTATCCCAGCTTCCTCGCACAGTTTTATCTCAGCCTAAAAGTGGCAACAGCAAAATCCTAACAGGGCGTGCATGAAGAACATATCTTACTTTTAGTGGGTTTTGTTGCACAAAGCTGAGCAACAAATAGCTTCAGATATCTGCAGATACATCTCTATTTTTTCATTCTAATAAATGGTGATAGGTTTTTAAATTATCAGAAACTCTGCATATACAACAATTTTCTTTAAAAAGTGGTTTTCTTGATTATTACTTTTGTTTTTCCTGTGGAAGCCAATCTGTTCCAGGAAGCCCGGCTTATGTGCACAAACAAGATCCGCTATTGTAATATCTCAGAATTTCTGAATTTATAACATAATTATCCTCCTAAAAACCTATACAGATATGGGAGAAAAGTGCTATTACTCCTATTTTACAGATGACAGTGGTTGGTTGAGACCATTAAGAGAGTACCCCCAAGACCAGAGTCTGGGGGTGTGCTTGAGCTGCTCCTCTAGTAAAATGTTCAAGTCACCCAAGACTTTGCTTCAGAGACAGTCTTCAGAGTTTGATCATGATGATATAAGACCATATTTGGGAATGAAACAGTGATGGTATGAAAAGGAACGATGGTTTTTGTAAATCTGTTGGTAAAGTTCTGGGTAACCTTTGTGAACTATTTTTATCGCTAGACAGTGCAACAAAATAAGTGAATCCTGTCTCCCCCAGCACCACTTACCCTTGCTCCAATAAGTAAGTAATGGTACGAGCATCATGTAGTTAAGTAGAATGTTTTTCTTGTGCTTTGATCCTAATCTCTGGAGAAATATGTTTACTTTAAGTTTGCTGAAAGCTAGACTTTGTGTTTTGAAGGTCAGTTAAGAAATCTCTGGAGGTCTGATGCTATTCACTCTCATGGAATGAAACGCTGACTCCAGCATTCCAGCTGCTAACTTGTGTCCTAGGCACAGGGAAATACTGCGACGTCTTCGTTCCTTGGGAAAAGAGGATTTTGCTATTTAAACTGGAACAAAGCTAGATACTGTTGATTTTGATGTGTCTGGTAGGCATGGATATGTGATATCATTTGTAGTGTTAGAATATTCCAAGGGGGAGCAGAAAGATGTTGCCAAGGCTGTGAGGATATTGCAACTGGAGTCCCTGGGGTCAGATTTGGGAATGCAGCAGTCTCATGGTATGAATTATAAAACAGATGAAAATAAAACAACAGAGCTGACTAGTCCGCCTGCTGTTCCAGCAGATTAATATAGAATTTAGCTACAACAAATTAGGAGAGTGACTTTTTGTAGAGTCAAACGGTTTCCTATACAATACAGTGCACAAGAAGACTCCTGGTGAGGAAAGCCACAAGAAAATGGTTGTGAAGTTGAGAAACCTGGTAAATGTGAAAACATCAGGAAAGGAATGTTTACTTTCTCACTTGAGCTAAAAAACACAGCCACAATGTTAATATATCTCTTAATAATTGAACTTGATATTTTATAGACACGCATGTTAATCCCCCCTTATGTTATATAAGTATAAAAAACCCAGAAATATTAATACTACTTAGATGGGAATGAATATACAGATGCATGTAGGTATATACATACATAAACGTAAAAATATTACAACTTTTCCTTTATGGCAATTCTAATGGATTATTTCCTGATCTAAATAAGCCTGCCATTGAACTGCATCATCTTTTTCTTTAAGAACATACAATGATTGGAATAAGGCTCTCTATTGGGGAGGCATAAGGAAAGAAAAATGATGGCAAAATAAATCATTGCAACAACACTGAAGGATAAGAAAAACAAATCGATCTATTATGAGGTGGGCAACCCTGCAAACCATTCCAGGCACTTGTTTATTTTCAGGTAAGTACATGTTTTTATCTTGGAACATGGTTTTGCATATTTACATGAATTTGATGACTTAATTGTATGGTTTATTTGGTGAGAGTTGCTGAACAATTCATCACATACATTTGCAAAATACATTAGTGATTCAAGGTTACAACTGCATTATAAAGCTAATATCATTGTAAGGAAAAGTTTCTAACAATATGATTATTTTATGAATAGAAGTTTCTAACAATGTTCTGCAAGGAAATTTTTCCTCATTTCAGAGATTGCAGTTTCTTGATTTCTCTGAATGTCTACTATGCCCAAGAAATCTGCTATTTTATTGTAACTAGACCTAATAAAAGTCCTGACCCCTCAAAAAACCCTAACTCACAAGTTAAATGTATGGTGTATTTTCAGAACACTGGCAATACCCTTGCTTTGTCTCTTCCCTCCCTTAGAGTAACTGCAAATTTCCCAGTGATACCTTTAATTTATACTTGAGTGTTTAAGGATACTATAATTTTTACTCTTCTAAAAATGGCTAGAGAAGCAATAGGAACCAGGGGCATATATTACAGATCAAGTCAAAACAAATATCTACAGGAAAGCAGAAAAACAGGTATTAACTTTGAACAAGCTGTTTTATCTCTTATGCAGCACAGGAATACAAAGTCAGGTCCTGGAAGTTGAAGAGATGAAGTTCTGCTTTAAGCAGCCAGGATGGATGCCAACAAGGACAGTGCTGTAACAATTCAACTGTACTGCTTCAGGGTCCACAAGTGACACAGGTTGGGTGGACCGTCTAGGCAAAACAGCTCATTAAGAGGTTGACCTGGTAACTGCAGCATTTTACACTGTATCATGTTTACACGCCCCACGACTGCAAGCAAAAAGGACAAGAGCTCTGGCTGAATTAGGGGATTCTAACTAGGAATACTGTAGTTTTCACCTTAATTGACATTGCTGCCTGAGTTGTTTACACCACGCAAATTCAAATGTTGGTGTAGTCATCTGAATTCTTCCTTTATTCCAGTACGCCATACTTTACTACTTACCTAAACTTCAAACTAAGAAAAATTAGAGCAGTGAAAGTACCTCAACTAAGTATTCACAGTGGTGCAGACATACAGAAATGCTGTTGCAGAAAAGATTTGACCAGCATATGTCCCTCAAACTCTATTTACTAGCTACAGGGTAGGTTGGAATAAATAGCCTAGCCCCATTGTCTCTAGGGCAAGCTAGGTATTTGCTTTAGAACATAGAATAGTTTGGCTTGGAAGGGACCTTTAAAGGTCATCTAGTGCAACCCCCCTGCAGTGAGCAGGGACATCTTCAACTACATCAGGTTGCTCAGAGCCCCGTCCAACCTGACCTTGAGTGTTTCCAGGAACAGGGTATCTACAACCTCTCTGGGCAATCTGTGCCAGTGTTTCACCACCCTCATCGTAAAAAACTTCTTCCTTATATCTAGTCTGAATCTGCCCTCTTTTAGTTTAAAACCATTACCCCTTGTCCCATTGCAAAAGGCCTTGTTAAAAGGTTTGTCTCCATCTTACAAGATCCCTTTAAGTACTGGAAGGCCACTGTAAAATCTCCCTGGAGCCTTCTCTTCTCTGGGATGAACAAAACCCCAACTCTCTCAGCCTGTCCTCATAAGGGAGGTGCTTCAACCCCTTGATCATTTTTGTGTCCCTCTTCTAGACCTGCTCCAACAGATCCATATCTTTCCTGTTCTGAGGACTCCAGAGCTGGATGCATTACTCCAGGTGGGATCTCACCAGAGCAGAGGGGCAGAATCACCTCCCTCGACCTTCTGGCTACACTACTTTTGATACAGCCCAGGATAGATCTGGCTTTCTAGGCTGTGAGCACACATTGCAAGGTCACGTCCAGCTTTTCATCCACCAATACCCCCGAGTTCTTCTCCACAGGGCTGCTCTCAATCCCTTCATCCCCCAGCCTGTACTGATACCCAGGGTTGCCTTGACCCAGGTGCAGGACCTTACACTTGGCCTTGTTGACCATCATGAAGTTCACATGCGCCCATTTCTCAAGCTTGCCCAGGTCCCTCTGGATCGGATTCCATACTTCAGGCATGTCAACCACACCACTCAGCTTGGTATCATTTGCAAACTTGCTGAGGGTGCACTTGATCCCACTGTCTATGTCTTTGATGAAGATATTAAACAGTACTGGTCCCAGTACGGACCCCTGAAGGATGCCACTTGTCACTGATTCATCCACAGAACTTTCACCAGTAGCATCCAACTTGTCCAATACAACTTGTACTTGCTACTGAGATCAGCCTGAGTGATTTAGTTGGTAAAACTCAAATTAATGGCTCTGTATACATCTCTCCTAATGGATATTCTTTCTCTATTGTAAGCTTTGCTAGTGAAGCTTAAGAATTACCATGACAGTAAACCCACTGTACAGAGAAATTAGAGGTCAGAAATAAGCATGTCTAATGTAGTAGCTGAAAGCTGTTTTTTTTTTTTTTGTTTTTTTTTTTTTTTTTTTGTTTTTGTTTTTGTTTTTGTTTTTTTTTTTTTTGTAAGAAGGACAGAAAAATTGCTAACTAGCTACAAAATTAAACTTAGATTATTTGCTGGATTTTTTTTCTCTTTTCCCCAATTAATCAACACATGAGAGTCAGGGAGTGCAATTCATCATTTAGTACAAGTACTACACCGGTGCCCAGAGATTCCAGTCCAGAATAACTGACCCTGTTATTCCAAACACAACAGGCACAGCTGATCAACAGTAATGCTGGTCAATAATGCAGCTTCGTGTTTAAGTAGAGACAAACTGTCTTTGGAGTGGTCAGTATTGATTCAAGTCTCTCCCAAGCTATTACCTAGGAACACAAAACCTTTTAATTTGCTCAGATTCCTGGGTGCCATCAATATCTTCACCAGCAACAGTACATGAAAAAAGTGTTGTTAATTATATGGCGCTTATAGTTTCTTTTATTTTTCTGCAATAATTCTTACCCATATTTTTTACAGGTTTTCACATAGTCTGGCAGAGCCAGAATTTTCATCTGTGTCCTTTATGAGGCTCATTTCTTTCTGACTACTGTCAAATTTATAGAATTAAATGAAGCCATGAAATATTTCAGCTGTGTATTGGTGTACCTTTCCATGTAAAACCCTGGCAGTATTCTCAGTCATACTCTCTATATTCAACCATAAAAAGAGGTTTGAGGATTGCCTCTAGTACAAAAGGGCAATGTGATGAAGTATTCCCAAATGAGATGGAAAGTTATATACTTACAAGACATTTAGACAGTTTTAAATTGATTAGCTTCAGCTGCCTGACTTCCAAGAGTAAAGCATCCATGAGCCTAAGATGTGGATGAGAAATCATTAGTGCATTCTAGGTACAATATTAAAGGAAATAATTTAAAGTAATGACATTAGTGGTGTACCCCAGGGGTTGGCTCTGGGACCAATAGTGTTCAACTTCTTTATTAGTGACCTGGAGAGGGGACAAAGTATACCCACAAGCAAATCGGCAGATGACACAAAGTAGGGAGGAGTGGCTGATACACCAGGTGGGTGTGCTGCCGTCCAGAGGGACCTTGCCAGGCTGGAGAAGTGGGGTGAGAGGAATCTCATGCAGCTTGGCAAAGAGAGATGTAAAGACCTGCCTCTGGGGAGGAATAACTGCAGGCACCAGCGCATGCTGGGGGCCAACAAGATGGAAAACAGCTTTACAGAGAAGGATCTGGGGGACCTGGTGAACACCAAGATGAACATGGGCCAACAATGTGCCCTTGCAGGTAAGAAGGCCAACAGCATCCTGCAGGGCATTAGGAATAACATTGCCATCAGGTTAAGGGAGGTGATCCTTCCTCTACTAGCACTGGTGAGACACACCTGGAGTGCTGGGTCTAGTTCTGGGCTCCCCAGCACAAGAAAGATATGGAGTTACTGGAAAGTCCAGTAAAGGGCCACAAAGATGACTGAGGGACTAAAGTATCTCTCCTATGAGGAAAGGCTGAGAGAGCTGGGACTGTTCGGTCTGGAGAAAAGAAGGCTCAGAGAGGTTCTAATTAATGTGTACAAATACCTGAAGAGAGGGAATGAAGAAGAAGGAGCCATGCTCTCGGTGGTGCCCACTGACAGGAGAAAATGCGGTGGGTACGAACTGATATACAAGGGATTCCATTTCAACAGAAGAAACAAAACCTTTCCCTGTAAGAGTGATTGACCACTGGCACAGGTTCCCCTAGTCTCCATTCCTGGAGATATTCAAAACCTGACCGGACCTAGCCCTGGGCAATCTGCTTTAGGTGATCCTAAGGTGGGTTGGACTTTATGATCTCCATGGGTCCTATGCCACCTCAACCATTCTGTGGTGGACCACTGAAAGGTTTACCAATGCTGAATGATAAAAGAGAGAGCGTGAAGGAGTCCACAAAACCTTGGTATTCCCTTATGGGCATTTGAACAGGAGTGGGGTCATTCCCACAACAAGAAAACAGGTCTCCTCTAGATGACTTATTGCAAGTCCCCATCTAAACTAGACACGCGTGTAGTCTAAGTGCATAAGAAATGTAATTGATTTTCAGCTGTAATATTTACATGCTTGGAGCTGAACACACACTGTAGAGATTTGCTGCCTATATCCTTGGAGCAGAGCTTTTGAAAAATATTTTCAAGTGGGATTTAAAGAAGTGTATAATCAATTAGGTTCTTCATTATAAATAATTTCAATGTTTCCTGATATTTGAAATCTGGTAAACATAGTCTCTCAATCCTTCTCAATTGAAATACATTCAGTGGAATTGCATGAATTTGGTTACAGAGGAAAGAGCAAAGGAAACTAGTGATTTTAGATAATTTCTGTCAAAGAAAAAAACAGTTTCAGTAGATTCAGCATTTCCACAGGGAAAAATCACTTCCAACATTCTCAAGTCCCAGCCATGTGTGAAATTAAGAGACACACATATTTTCTGTGTTGTCACTGAGTGTGAAACATGATCAATATGTCCTTAGTCAACTGTTCTGATACTTAGATATGAGTACTGCTCAAAAGCTGGGCCCTTTTTGATGGAGTTACTGGATTGTCTGTGGTATCTGGTTTACCACAATAAAGATTTTGTTACTTTTGTTGTTGCAGACTGGTGCAAGTCAAAACTTTTCCCCAATGATCATTTTAAATTTGAAGCTGCTGCTAATTGTTACAGACCAGGCTACAGAAGAGATGTGAAGGTCTGGATGCCTTCAGTAAATCTTGGCTATTTCAATGACTTGGCTCAGAAGGAAACGTACGCAGTACTTCACTCTGGCACTCAGCCACTGTCCTGTACAGAAACAATGGGGAATAAAAGAGAGTTTGGGGCACTGACATCTACACTAAATATACTCCTTAGCAGGACTCAACAAGGAAAGCAGATCTAAAAATTATTGTGAAAGAAAATGGCTATAACTATACTTATCTTATTTTTTGGTTCAGCAGGCAAAACCATCCTGAGAAAGATGTAAGAAACCCTACAAAGAGATGGCTAGGCAACGACCTGATCATGAGGACAGTTTCTTAATCCCTTTTAGAGGATTAAATTCATGCTCTGAAACTTGAGCATTTATAAGCTTCCAAAACTAGTATAAATTAAAAGAGAAGTTATTGTACCAGGGTATTTTTGGAAGAAAAAGGGGTTTTGCATTAAGCTTGATCCAAAATGCTCTAACACTTTTGTTTTTAATACTTTGATTTATTTTAATAAAAAATAATTGTGAATAAAAAAAAAAAAAAAACAAACACTTCATGGAAAATGTCAGTTTGTTTTAGAAAAGCCGGATTTAAAAAAGTGAAATTTGATTGAAAAATATTGGTGTAAAAATGGATCCTCAATTCTCAACAGAAAAATTTATAGTAAAAACTTAAATTTCATTTTTGACAAAAAGTTCAAAATTTAATTTGAAGAAGCATTTTTGTAGCTAATTGTTTTATTCTAGGAAAAAAAAGATGCAAATCTGAGTTAGAGTGATCTCATTTTGAGAGAAGACATTTGGTAGCAAAAGGATGTTTAAGCTGGTTACAATTTCTTCACTTAAAATGGTGGGAATCTAGAGAATAACATACTGTACTTTCAAGAAAATATTAATATATTTTCCCTCTATCAACCTACAACCCAGCAAGTACTAATTGTCTTTGAAAAAGAAACATTAAGTATTTGGGGATGAACTGGTCAAGATGAGAACTGATTGCTGAGGTCACAGCTGATCTCTGGCAATGAATACAAACTCTTTCCCACTACCCTTTCCTGCCTCCACCTTCACCTACAAACCCCTAATAATGGAAAATACTTCAAAAAATGCTTAAGTGAAATGAAAATGAAAATTACAAATGAAGGCATGCGCTAACATCCTGATCTGAGGCTTTTACCGGCGAGTTCATCCCCAGTGTGCAAATCAGAGCAGCACTTCCGAGTGATCTCTGCTAGAACAGCATCTGCACATCAAACATCTGCCTCCCAGCTCCCCTCTACACGACGCACTAAAGTCAAAATGCCTGCGCAGCTGAGCAGAAGCCCACCGAGGAAACAGGAGCATCTTAGCAATACTCCAAAGCCACCAGGCCCGAGCACATCTACCTGGAACTGACACAAGCCTCCCTTTGGGACAGAAAGCTCCTCCGGGGAATACAATAGCACTAGGAAATGATGTCTGTGATACAGTGGGGAGCCAAGTGCTCGCAGACCATGAAACCAAACAGCCTTGCCTCTAACAGGAGGTAACAGAGCTTCAGTAGGCAACGCTGATGCTGACCGCAGTCTTTAAGATCTTAATAAAAAATAGGCCATTTCTCGTCTTTGCAGACGCATCAGCTACAGCGACTGGATTTCCCTTGCCCTTGCATTTTTTTTCAGGGACAGAAAGGCAAAGGAAAGGTACCGTGTTTTGTGAGAACAGTCACATTGTATGAATGAAAATCCTTTATTAAAAAAAACAAACCCAAAACCAAACTACAACTGGCTATGCGGTAGAACTTTATCTAGCTGGGTTCTTTAAAACCCTGTGACCTACTTTAGAACTGCTTTAAGAAATAAAATGAGCAATAAGAAAAAGATGAGCAGCAGCAGCAGCAATGTTAGCAGCAAGCTAAAATTGGAAAGGATTTTCATTACCCAATTTAAAAACAAAAAAGACCTCCTTCCCCCAAAACCAAACATAAAACCCCCAAGTGGTAATAAAGTGTCTGCTGCAGTGTCACAGCCTTTTCCTTTTCTCTCCCAACTGCACTGTAGCAACCTGACCTAGTTTTCTAAGGAAAAAAAAAAATCGAGCTGCAACACTTTTCTAATAAAAATATGACACTTTATCAAAATGAACCAAACGTAAAGATTTCTGTTCTCAGCCCTTTTAAAAGATTGAGCTAGGTGGTATTACAGCTTAGAAAAATCAAAAGCTACTTGTAAGGAGTATTGGTATGTAAGATCCCTACCTCAATTATCATTGTTCCTGGGTATTTAGGTTTATAGGCAAAATGAATGGCCAGTTTTGTTGCTTGCAGAGCTGCATCAGTCTCAGCTGCCACCTTCTTACCAAACTTTTCACTGAAAAGAGAGATGATATGGTTCTGCCCACAAGCCCTGATTATTTTACCCACAGGAACCATAGTTTCTGAAACCACTGCTGTAAACATCTAAGAAATGCTGGCAACTTCAAACGTAACATATATACCTTCTCTTCACATTACATGTGAGCTGTTTAGGTTGACCATTGCTACTGAAGTCTCCTCTTAGTGGAGAGGAACTCCGTGATAAGCTTCCATGGACCTTTCCAAGGGAAAACAGGCTTCAAGATGGGCAGTCCCAAGGGGCAGGGTCAAGGAGAGAAGGAATGGGCAGAAACACTGAGCAGAGCTAGTAACAGCCTGATCTCACAGCAAGGACTACCTACGTACTCTGGATTTTTGCTGACAATTAACACAGTAGGTATTGCTGTGATAGTTAGCACTAATGATCCTCCACAATTACACTGCTTTGGAATACAGGGATCCAATATGAACTCAGCCTCATTAAGATACATATGCATAGATTGTATCTGCTATGCGGACAGACCCTGAAAGCTCTAATTTGCTGAAGAAAACTTGAAAGATGTGGTACTCTTTGTACTCTACTGCTATTACAGTAATGAACGGGTTATATGACACAACTGAGACAGAGGGCAAGGAAGATTTCCAGGAAAGTGCACAATAACCAACCAACATGAGAATACACCGTGGGTGCTCTTAAGAAGATAACTTATTTAATTTCCTTCTTCTTCACCCAAAGTGTTTCATGAATGCCTGCTTTGCCTTCTCTTAGAACAGGACCCCAGGAACACTTGCATATCT